ATCATGCGTTGGGTATTGATGGTGGGAAAACATGAACAGAACAAAGAAAAAGAATAGTGGAAAATCAGCTGGAAAAGAGGAACAGTACAGGACTTTAGAGAATGTTTAACAGCTATCAAGCCATGTGTGATTTATCATGTGTGTCTTGGGAACCACTGATGGGTTTGAACAGTGTTTTGTTTCCAATATTTTAGAAGATTAATTTGTTAGCAGTTAGAGAAATGTTGAGATTCAAGTGGACAGTGACATATACAGGTTTGGCACTCATGTAAAGAGCCAGAGCTAAACACAAAAATTAGAGTTTTTGTTGGTATAAAGATTGCATCTGCAGCTGTGAGACTAGATAAGATAATCTCAGCAGTGCAGAAAAGGAGGGCTCAAGGTGGCCCTTTGAGGCCATCCAATTTGTAGTTATCAGGCAGAGAGAAGCCAGGACAAGCAGCACAGCACAACTGTGGAGGAGGGAGGAACGCCGGTGGGAAAGGGCGTTTCCAGAACGAGGGGGCAGTCCATCGCCCAGGAGTGATGAGGGCTTGCCTAGAATGGGACAGTGGAATGACACACATGGGCCAGAAGAGATGTGGCTGATGTTGCTCCAAAGGCATTAATCCTATAACCAATGTCTGCTACTAACTCACACCCTTGACTGGTTCCTACCCGATTTAACAACTTAAAAAGAGGAAAAGAGTGGAGTGGAAATAAAAGTTGATTATCTTAAAAGGGACAATAAATTTAAAAATCTGTGTAAATCAAAACAGAACATAGAATCAAAGCTTAATTATTAATTATTAATAATTCTAAGAGCATTTTATAAAAAATGACAATGATTTGTTTTCTTTCTTTTTTTTTTTTTTTGTTGTTGTTGGAATTTTGCTTTTATTGGCCTCAGACAGCAGACTTACATTCCTAGCAACAATGGTTTCAGAAGTGAGAAACTCCAGGACTGGAAAACACTTCGGATACAGTTCAATATTTCAGACTGTGAACACTACTTAAACGGACAGCACTGTCTCTATGTAAGACTGGAGAGCAAATACCCTGGCATAAGGTAGTGGCTTGATTCACTCAGAAATTTTCAGAATATTCAATCAAACCAGGACACCCAAACAGAGCTTTTCAAGAACCATTTTTACATCGACAGGTTTTAAACAAAGAATAATCCCTTCCAGTAGCTCTTTCTCTGTACTTGTCCTTATTTTTGTTGTTGTCCTTATTTTTTACAGACAGAAAAAGAAGTCATTACTATAATACTAATGATTTCCTCAAGCCATGCATATCAAAACAGAAGCCCCTAAGGACAATGTTAAGTTGGAATTGTTGATTATCTTTAAAGATAAAACTTGTCCCAAGCAGTTCTAATAAACTTGCTAGAGAGATCAAAATAGTTTAAGTAAACACAATTCACATTCAAACTTATCAATCAGAGGAATTAAGCATAAGTAGCTAAAAGTTCATTTTCATGTAAAGTTTACATTGGAATTCTATGTTTGAATTCCCTGAAGGTATTTTTAGGTGAGGATTCCATAAACACAGATCCCAAAGAGAAATGCAAGTGCCACTAACTTCTGAGATGCAGGAAAACTCTTCGTCTTTTGGGGCCTTAGTTTTGCCAACTGTAAAATGTAAATTTGACTACTTGTCCTGATCTCACACTTTCCAGGGACTCAAGAGAAGCATGTTCACAGGCTTGGGGTCTCACATGCCCTTGTAACCCAAGAAAGGACAATCTCATACTGGAGAGATAGCATGGGGATGGCCCATGCTTGCACAAGACCGTGAACAAGTTTTTGTCTTTAGAAGCTGAAAAAAATGCAGCTCTTTAGAGAAGACCAGAATTCACTCTGCGATCCATACACAAGTGTGAATATACTTGCTCACTGTCGATTGTTTTCTCTCACCTTTTCCTCATAACTGGGAAGCAGAGGCTTCAGACAGCGCTAAGCGGGGAAACGGGAGAGCTGACATCAGAGTGGCCTGGCACTCATCGGCAAACTGTTTAACCATGGGAGTCGGACACACTATTAGGATGTACTTAAAATGTTATTTTAAATGACATACCCTCTTCATCTTGGCCACATCTTCCCCACATCCAGAGGCACTGCTGCCCTTGCCTTGGCCTATAGGAAGCTGACAGGAAAAGAATCTTCAGCGCACCCAAGAGTGTTTTGGAACCTTTAGACCTCAGCAGTCACTCCCTCCAGATTACTACTTCAGAGGAGTCTCCTCAGTAATGGCATTGGTGCATGCCACAATGCCAAGGGTCAAGAAAAGGTTTCTATCAAAACATCCAACTGAGAAAAATAAAACAATGCTAATACTCCACAGCCCGTGCCTCAAAGTATCTAGGCATCGTCTAGAGGGAATTCTGGATTAATTAACACAACGGAGTCTGCACGTGCTACCTACCCTCCTTCTTCTGCCCCAACCCCAGATATGCTGACTCAGCAGCCGGCCTGAAGCCAGAGCGGCACAGTACAAATTCAGAGTGTGCAACAATGTTTAGTTCAACTCTGACAAAATGGCTGCAAACTCATTCCTGAAAGCAAGAAAACATGAATACTGTGCTTAGCTTATATTAGACATGAGGGCTTAACAGAGTTTAAAAACCAATTTAAAGCTTCCATCCTCCCATAAAGACAGCATTAAGATTGAGGGCAAAACCATCCAGTTCAAGGAATGGGAACAAAGTGCATAAGAAATTATATAGACTCCTTTTGACATTACCCTTCTCGACCAACATGACCCAGTCCCTCTGATACTTAATACTGACTCAGCAAGAAGACAATTTCATTAAAACACTTTAGTCACATTATGCCCAGAGAGTAATATCAGTTTCATTGCTAAAAACAAGTTTGCAATTTAAAGTATCTTTCATTTGTCATTAATATTCTATTTATTTCCAATTCATCTTTCTAAAGATGACCACACAAGACCTGCAAAGTATTTTGTTGCAAATCCAGCGAGTCACTAGTCTTTCAATATCAATAAGTCATAAGCTTGTACAAGCACAGAGTTTAATTTGAATGTTGAGAACTGTCTACTCCGTGACCAGGCCCTGGAAACTCTGAGTTGTATAAGAGTCGACGAACTCTGAGACTTAACTTTGTTCTTCCTCAGTTATCATTAATAAAATATTTTGAAATTTTGGAACTGAAAAGTGACTTTAGATAAGGAAGCTATGTTTAAGTCTTTTGTATATCATATTTTTTTTTGTTTGTTCCTATTTTATTTTTTGAACAAGGGCATATGCTTATGTGTTTTGTTTAAGGCTACTTTAAGGTTCATGGGAAGAAAGAACGAGGTTTCAGATAGAAAATTCTCTTAGCATAAAACAAGGTTCTGATCTCTACATCTAACAAGACTCACATTAGTTTCTATCTGAACATGAAATCCCTTTTCCACAGTATATTTCCAATGGCCTCAGCTGACTTTCTGTTAACTAGTATAAGTGTTCTGTCTCTTAGCTAACCAAAACCATACACATTAAGAAGTAAAATATCAAATAATTCAATGCCATGTCCTCTCCTCCTGACTGAACTAAAACCCATTTTCCTATTATTTCATTATTAATATGAGAAAGTACTGGAACAATAAGAGGAAGTTCATTTGTTTATAGCTATAACATTCTGGTTTTGATTGTAATCAAGCAAAGAGACAGAAGCAGCATGTACCCCGCAACGGTACTGTTTTATATGTGTGCTGTGAACTTGAACTTGGGATGTTGTTAATAAAGGAGGGAAAAAACAAACAAAACCCACAACTGTAGATCTTCTTTACTGCTATTTAAGCAATTCAGCTTAAGATAGCAATGTGACAGATCCTTTCCCTTGAGACAGGATCAAATTAAGAGGCTGATGGCTTGGGTAAGTTAGTAAGTTGGCATACCTTCATAGATAATTCTTCAAATATTTGTGGAGCAGATATTTGGGTGAAGGGTTGAACGTAGTAAGCCTGGAAGGAGTGTAGAGGCAGAGCTGTTGGACCATCCAGCCTGCACAGCTGACTCAACACAGCAAATGCTCTACAGTTCGCCAGGCAGATCTGCTTAGAAGGCAGTCTGGCGACAGTCTGTGGATTTTCAAACATACCCTTCCCTGGTCCATGCTGGTAATGAACGCATTACATCTAGGTGCACTTAGCCGCTCCCTGGAAGGTGATGCTCGTTTTCCTCCTTTTCTCTCTGCTGCTTTCCCAGTGATGCTTTCCTGTTCTTTATAGGTGTACTCTTCCTCCAGGGACATTGTCGTTTGTCTACAGCATGAACTGAGTGTATGTAGTGTCAGGTACTAGAGACATAAAAGTGACTAAGACACTGTCCCTGCCCTTAAAGAACCTAGGGGAGAGGAAAGACCGACAACACAACAGCTAAGAAAGTAAACCAGTCGTTGCCGGATATAACTGACATTAAGTGTTGGATACAATTCGAGCAAGTTCAAGTGCTGGAAGCTCCACCCCTAATGTGGCATCAGCAAGGTGACAGAACGTCTAAGAAGTGGAGCCTAGAAGATATCTGGTCATGGAACATTATGGTGAGGACGGGGAGAGGATGCTTATCATTGTCCTGTCTGACTGAAAAGTAGCCCTTTCTGTCCATGGTTGGCCCGCTCTCTAGTTTTCCAGTGTGATGGGCCATGGCTGGGGGACCCTTGCCAAGACTTCATTATCAGTGTGTGTACATCTTCCAGCCAAATTGGAATCATGAGCCAAAGACTTTCTAACAACAGCAGACATTTTAAACTTTTGTTTATATCTCTGGGAAGTTAACCGTTGGGTAAGAACTAGAGAAAGAAGAGAGGTATTGTCTTTATGTTTTCTGATCCCTGAGCCTACATGTACAGGGATGGGTCAGGGATGTGGAATCATGTATTTATGTGAATTAGCCACAACTTTTCATTTTATAGATTTCCCCTGAATGACTTTGTCCCTGGGACTTGCTATACAAACAAAGAGAAGAGCTGGAGAACCTTACTTGGTCCTGTTACATGTATAGCCACACATACCTGAGCCAGGGGGTATTTTATTTTATCTTGAAAAAAATTGCCAGTAGGAATAAAATCCCATTCAGGAGCTATTCCAGCTTTCTTTTTGTTTCTTCTGATGTATATCCCTTGAATAAAACAGTGCAAAAAGTTAGATTTACAATAAGGAACATAAAACCCCTCGCTACTTTACATCACCTCAACATCATACTACGTTTGAAGTCACAAGAATTAGTAACTGAATATATTGGCCAGCTAGCATATATACAAGATATGAAATACAAGAACTTTAGTTAAAGCAAACTTATTTTGAAGGCACCTCTCTCTAGTGCCTCTGGGTACCTACAGTGCCCCTGTGAGTATAACACAACTAGGGAACCGGAACAAAACAGAAGCACAGCTCAATCAATTCTCAAGTCAGAAAAATACTCCTTCCTATTACTAACCTGCCGATAGTCTGTCTAAATAAAACTGCATATTCCTCTAACCAAAGAGACAAAAACTACTGATCCTTGTCTGACAGGTAGCTTCAAGTGGACCCCAGCAAACAGGGAGGAAAGCTTGGAGCCTGTTAAAGTAACCCATACATTTTAATTTTCACAATTGGGTCTTTCTGGTTCCAGGCAATTCCTCAGGAAAGCAGGACCAACGTTATTAAGTCTCAACAGCTCACGTAGAACCGTGATTAGTTCTGCCTCAGCTCAGCATTTTCCAGGGCATACTTGTTTCCTGTTGCTGGTGGTGGTTTGTTTGCCGAAACAAGGGCTCACTCCGTCTTCAGGCTGGTCCAGAACTCGATATCTGTCAGCCTCAACTAGAGTGCTGGGATTGTAGATAAGTACCATTGCCATGCGGGACCCCTTGCATTTTATCCTCTGCCGTTTACCTGTATACACCTCACACGTGCACTTCTAAATATTGGGAGAGTGCGTCTTGAGAACTGTGTAAAGCTGCTCCACAGAATGTTACTGAAGGAGGTGACTGTGGCCTCTAAGAGTCAACTCCACTTGCTCAGTGTTCTATGGAGACAGCCAGAGCGGCTCATCAACCAAGGTAATGTGTAGTCACAGGAGCCCATCTTAGGTTGGGAAATTCACTACTAATGTTGGGATATGACATAGTCTAAGTACCATCTATGCTATGGTCATGCTAGACCACACAGTTTATTTTTTTCCTAAAAGAACACTAAAATACAGTTTTATATAAACACGATTAACAACAATAAGGATAAAGATTAGTCAGACAAAAACCCACTTTAGAGAGTCTTAGAAATAGTCAGATACCTATTCACATTAGTGACAACTGTCAGAGACTTGGACTCATTAAAAATTGTATTAGCTGGTATTTGTCAGGGGTGAGCGACAGGGCTAAGTATTTGTTGAGAACTGGAATGTCTGATTTATTCTTTCATTGTCCAGAGCCCAGAGGGCTGCTTCTGCCCAATAAAGCAAAGTCGGGGTCCAGACAGCCGGGTCCAGAGGGGCCTGGCACTCACAATGTTTCCTCTTGCACTTTTCAACCTTTTCACCCCAATTAAAGGTCAACATGGCTGCTCAAAAACATTTATTTAAAAAGGCAGTCAACTCAGCAGGCTGTCAAGTGTGATATTGCCACTTCATAGAATTCAATTAAACCCGGGACCAGGGCATCTGTGAATCACTGGAAGAAGCATGACTTGGGACATTTTCGGCTTTCTTCGAAAAGCTCTATTTTTCCTCCCGTCATTTATTCAGTTCCTAGAGCGCCGCCGCAAGCGCGCGTTCACAATCTCCCCCCCAGCGGCTCGGGGATTTATAGCTCTCGGCTTAATTAAATCCCCTCTGACGGCCACGCAGGTCTGCAGCGCGCCGCGCCGCGAAGGGAGCGCGGCCTCTTCCTGCGGGTGCGCGCTAACCCCCGGCCTAGGGAGCGCTCCCGGCAACGCCGGCGCCATCACCCACCTCTGCACCTGGCCGCCGCCGCTTCCGCCTGCTGCACTTCCGCCGCGCGCTGCACTTCCGGCTCACGGGCGCCGCCCTGCCGCTTGGGCTCTTACCTCTCAGGGCGTTGTCTCTGTTCCCTGGGAGAGCAGGGATTGAGTCAGTAGATGAGAGAGCCACGCTAAAATGTATTGAAAAAAAAGAAAAGAGGGAAAAAAAGAAGGGAAGGAGGGAAGAAGTAGAGAAGAGTGTGTTAAGGAAACGGCCTGGGGGTTGAGAAGCAGCATTTTGAGATTGCATTTTAACCTCTCCCTGTATGCGTTCATTCATTTATTACGGGAGTATTTACTGTCTTCCTCTTCCTTTGGGTTGGGGGCTGAACTGGGTTATAAGGAACAGGATGAGAAAAACTGGAAACTGTACCTCTCCACGTTTACAACCTTATAACCTTGGAGGCAAGGCAGACGTGGGGGAAATTCTCCTTTAAAGAGGGAATTTATTTGTTAGGCTACGCATTTGGAAGAGAACAAATATGACTTGTGAAAAGATAGGAATGTCAGCTGGTTAGTAGCTTTTGGACTAGCATATGACAGCCCCAGGACGCGGACGGAACCCCAGAATGAAGCTTGGGCCATGCACAGACCACTGACTAGTATGGCTAAAGTTCTAAGGGGATTGGGGACGAGAGGTGGGTGAATAGAGGCGGAAGAGTATGGAGCCCACCCAGGTAGCCAGGTCAGGTCTGTGCTATGGGCAGCTGGAATGCTTCCTGATTGACTACATCCCTATGAAGAAAGGGGAGCTGGAATAATTTTTTTTTGTCTTCAAAAAGGATATCTTAGCTTTTGGAAGTTAATGGCTTAGTACAGGTGTAACAAGCAGGGGCATTAGGAGATGACTAAGTAGTATAGGCTCCAGGTGTGGTGGTATTGTAAGTAATAAGAAAATGATGGGTAATAGGTATAATAATGCTCACCTTAATATTTATTGATTGCACATCCAAAGCTTGGTCCTCATTAACACGTTTAATCCTGTGAACGGTCTTATTAAGTACCATTTTACGGATGATGAAATGGAGGCTCAGTAACTTGCCCACATCCTCACAGAAAATAGCATATTGAATTTCATTTCTGCTGCCAGTACCTGTGGGCTCATCACTGAACAAAAATCACTGTGTATTTAGTGTTTTTTTAAAAAAGACAAAATGGGTCAGAAATGAATCCCTTAGACAAATAATATTGATTATACGATATTGGTAGAGGACACAATTTGGAAGTTGAATTTTCAAGTTCGTGCTTTATCGCTTCAGCATCTGTTAGCAGCCAAAAGAGGATTTGGGGCCTGTAAACAGACCTGTGATTATGATTCTGTTGATACACTCTGATAAGTCCCAATCTTTCTGAGCAGGGACTTGCCACTGTGTAAAAGTTACAGAGAGAGTCTTTCTTGAGAGCTAGTGCTATGTCTAGCTGTAAGCACCCTGGCAGAGCCTGCATATTGTACATTTTGTAGAGTGATAGAAAGATGGTCCTAGAAATGTAACTCCAGGTCAGCTTCCAAATTTCATTTTTGTTTCACTGGAAAATGAAGCTTTGTATAGTTGGTTGGATTATGAAATTTGATTTCACAAACTGAAGGTGAATGGTTTTCCCCAAAGGTCATAATGAAAGCTTTGTACCGTCGGTTATGGGTAAATTTCCCCAAAGAGTCAAAGTTCGTTTCCAGAGTTAACAATTCATTAGTAAGATTTTTTTGGGGGGTAGTTATATGGGTTTTAAGTGGTAGCCCAGGACTCAGAATGCATACTTGAGAGCGAGAGTTTCCTGAAATGCTTGTGAATCTCTGTTTCTGTTATCAGTGCCCAGTTACTTTGGGAATGTCTGGGTTAGGGTTTTTATTCCAGAAGAACAGTTTGGCCTCTAGGTCCAGATTTCCCACCTCCCTGTGCCAAGCAAAGGACCTTTGTTTGAGAGAATTTCTGGAGTTTGAATAGAAAAAATGATTATCTCAAAAAAAATTTGGCCACAGCAAAATAAACATTTATTCAAGGGTCAGAGAGTAGAACATGTGTGGGTGTCACTAAAGGATGGATTTAGCATTCATGGAAAACAACACTCTATTGAGACAGTCTAGACACATGAGAGCTACTACAGTGTGGTGAATACTGAGACATTGTAGTGTATTTGTTGGTGACTTTAGCTAAATAATTACAAAAAACAAAATTCTATATTTATTTTCATAGAAAAATATACAGGAGCTATTCACAGCTTTTAATATGTTTCAAATGATGTGAAGGTAAGATTGAAGGTCTTTAGATAGCACTGGGTCTATCTAAAGTATATTTTATTTCAGATATTCTTTTTTGTAGGCCTTTGACCTATGTATTGCCCTCTGTGGACTCCAGTTCTAGTGTTTGTCCTGAGAACTGAAACAGCAGTCTGTGTTCTCACTTCTTTGGAACCTGAGTTCTGCACTTAGACCTCAAGACTTTATCTCAGAGGTTCTGTGCAAGGCTTCAGCCTAACTCTAGAAACAGTCTGCTTGGAAGGGCTGGTCTGTCACTCCTGAGATAACCCAAGAGTACTTTAGACGGTACACTATCTGTTCTTCCAGAAATGACTTGGAGTCAGGCCTTCCATTTAAGGCCTCACGAGGGCTAGCTAGACTTGTGGGTGTAGGGGGTGGTGGCTTCACTCTTTCCTCTTGGCTTTGCCTCTGAGAAAGCAGAAGTAAAGACATGGCTGTTGGTATGAAAGCATTTCCTTCAGAATGCTTAAAAAAAAAAAAAAAAACAATGTCTCGGCAGGGAGTGATCGTCATGCCTGCCCTAGTTTACTGTAACCTGGATTTGTGCTGCCACTCAAAGAACATGCAACCTGGACTTTGACTAGGAGGAGCTATCTCAGTAATTGCCACAGTTGGGTGATACGATGGTAGAAATATTCAGAAACCTGGGAGGAGTTCCCTGTGTCTTTCTGCTCTTATGATGAACATATTTGTTTATCTCATCAGTCACTCTCTCTAGGTACTGCCAACTGCAGGAAATGATCTGAGAGAGCCAGATATTGGGTTATGTTTAAGGTCGTGGAGAAAAACAGTGGCAGCCTCCCAAAGAAAAGATGTGCTTCTGAATCTGGGATGGGTTGGGTCACTGGGTCACTGTTGACTACCTACCCACCAACCATTGTAAGAGGAGACAGAATTATAAGCCTGTCCCACCAGGAAAGAATGGGCCACAGAAACCTGATTTCTGTGTCCTCTATGGCATTTTAAAAACCCCTGCTCCTTTTTCCAGACATTTAGAGGAGAGTGAAAAAAAAATTTCAAAGGGGAAAAATGCTTATTTGTTTAAAGGCTTGCTCAAGTAATCCACTTATGCCATTTACATTAGTTAAACAACCTTTCTGTGTAAACACCATTAATTATGTAGTATAAGAGTCAAATAAAAATGCTAAAAAATAAAAGTAATTGTAGCATAAATTAGTGCAGCCTGAGTGCCCATACATTATAGAGAAACTGTAGACTTTTACAGGAATGGCTGTGTGATTTTTTTCTATTGTTTGAGCTATAGGATGGAACCAACAGAAATGACATTTCACAGATGGATACCAAAATTGTTAAAGTTTAAATTCATACCGGCAGTGAAATTACAGTTTTCACAGGGGCCCTGACTCCAGCCTCTCTCTTTATCCATCTTTAAAAGATGGTGAGGTGAAATGGGGTTGGAGTGTCCTGTGGATCTTCCCAGAAGATCTGTGAGAACCAGACCATTGTCGTCGACTCCAGAATCAGTAGCCTCCAACCTCCTTCTGAGTGTAATGAGAGGAGATTGCGGTGCCTGTGCTGAAGGAAGTGAACTGATGTGCTGCCGGCTAGCCGCAAAGGAAAAGGTCAGGGGCCCGCGCGACTGAAAGATGAGGGTGTCGGAGACCCTTCAGTGACAGCGGCAGTGTAGCTCCGTGCCACTCTTGGTTAACTGATGGCTTACAGTTCCTCAAGACAGGTTAGACATTTTCGTCATCCCATTTTACAGACGAGGAAATGGAAGCTTCAGGAAGATCACAAATGAAACAGGGATTGGAAAACATTGCTTCCCACTGTATTTTTCTACTACCTCATGCATGGGCTTAAATGTGAATAAAAAAGAACTATGGCTTTATCTCAAAAGACTGTTTTATGCTATGTAGGATCTTTTAAGAATATCTGAGCACATTTCCATTATTCCTCAGGGAAGGTTTTGTTTTACCTCAGGAGGCAGGAAATGGTTTTGAGATAGGAAAGGTTTTTCATTTTTTATGGATTAAGCCCGTCTTCTATTATAATTACTAAAGCTGGATCACGGAAAAGCATAGGGTGCTCACAGCATGAAGAGGAGGGTACAAGGCTTCTTCCTGGCTTCCTGGTGTATATGCACACCATTCAGGAGGCCTGTTCAGATAGACAGGGCAGCTAGCTACCAGGAAGAACTGCTCTCCAAACACACTCTAGCATGCTATTCCCAAACATGCCAACAACTTACTGCCTAGAAGAATTTTGAGATACAGTTTTTCCAAATTTTGAGAATTTGGCCTTCCTCCAGAGAAATATAATAAAATAATTAGTCATACCATCTGCTATGTTTGTGCAGCCTAAACTAAAGGGAAATTGTCTTTATTCAGAATAATGCTTCCTGTGCCAGCAGCAAGCACTGAAACCCAGCTACTAAGAATATGCATGCCTCCTGCAGTGGAACTCACAATCCGAAGGGAGATCAGTGTGAACCAGATGGCCATGTTAATAAATATTTACCACTGGGCTTGGTGGAACACCCTAGTGATCTCAGCACTTAGGAGGCTGAGGCAGGAGGATGAAGAGGTAGAAGCCAGCCTGAACCACAAAGCAAGACCCTATCTCAAAACAAAACAAAACAAAATAATATTTGTTGTAAATATCCCTTTTCTTCGATGAGGGTAATGTTTGTAACTTACTAGAAAAAGTGGAC